CGAAAAATGTGGATTATTTCGGATCTTTAGCTTTAAGCGCCGTTTTAAACCACCCCGTTGCATTCTTCACTTCATTGAGACGAAAATGATGTAAATCCCGAGCGATTTTGAGACTTGATTTTTTTTTAAATCGACCTTTACGCTTAGGAAAATTTCGATCAAAAATTCAAATTTCACGTATGTTTTTTGAGCTCAATGGATTGTTTCTGGCCCGAAAAGCTTCCTAATGTGCATATGTAAAGTGTTTGCGTCCATAATAACCAAAATATCATGAGAGAAAGATCACGACCGCTAAAAACTCACTCAAAATGAGGCAAAAATGTCGATTATTTCCGATCTGAAGCTTTTGGGAGGAATTTAAAATTAGTTCATTGCATTTCTCACTTCCTTACGAAGAAACTGATGTAAAAGTCGAGAGATTTTGAGAGGCTTGATTTTTTTTGAAAAAAATCGACCTTTACCCTTAGGAAAATTTCGGTCAAAAATTCAAATTTTCAAGTGCGCGTTTTTCGGCTTAATGGTTTGTTTATGGCTCAAAAGGGTCCTTAATGCGCATATATAAAGTGTTTGGGTCAATAATAAGCAAAATATCATGAGAAAAAGATCACGACCGCTAAAAACTCACTCAAAATGAGGCAAAAATGTCGATTATTTCCGATCTGAAGCTTTTGGGCGTAATTTTAAATTAGTTCATTGCATTTCTCACTTCCTTACAAAGAAACTGATGTAAAAGTCGAGAGATTTTGAGACTTGATTTTTTATGAGAAAAATCGATCTTCACCCTTAGGAAAATTTCGATCAAAAATTCAAATTTTCAAATGCGTGTTTTTCTGATTAATGGTTTGTTTATGGCTCAAAAGGGTCCTTAATGCGCATATATAAAGTGTTTGGGTCAATAATAAGCAAAATATCATGAGAGAAAGATCACCACCGCTAAATATCGCTCGAAATGAGCCAAAAATGTCGATTATTTCGGATCTTTAGCTTTAAATGCGGTTTTAAACCATCTCGTTGCATTCCTTACATCATTTTCATCTCATGATATAAAACTCCAGATATTTTCAGACTTGATTTGATCGAAAAATTGACTCCCGCCCCGGTCAAAAATTAAAATTTTACATGCGTGTTTTTGAAGCTCAATGGATTGTTTCTTGGCTGAAAAGCTCCTTAGTGTGCATATATATAGTGATTGCGGCCATAATAAGCAACATATTATGAAAGAAAGACCATGACCACTCAGACTGAGGCGAAAATGTCCATTATTTCATTTCTGAATCTTCTACAGTAGCCAATTTGTTCGTTGAGACAAAAATGATGTGGAATTTAAAGTATTTTGAAAAACCTGATATTTGCTCAAAAAATCCACGGCTTATGCGATTTTTGCTCAAAATTTTAAAATTGACAAGCGCATGTTTTGAGCTCAATTACCACATCACAGCAAGAATTGGCAGTTAATGACTTCAATAAACATGCTGTATTTATTTGACCTCCACAATTGAAACAATTTCTGAAAACCGACTGGTTCTGAATATTCTTTAAATAAATTAATCAATTTCGATTCTCAGACTCGAAATAGCTTAATCCACTTAATCCGAGTGACATCAGAATCAGATGGAGGCTTTGTATGGCAATAAACGCGACTTACGGATGCAATTTGCTGATAGCCTTAAAGGTCTATCCATTTTTGCTTTACAGCTTTCAATGTAAAAATTGTGTTCTTAAGCGCTTTGCTCTCCAAATCCTATGGCATCAATTAATTTTAATTTCAGTTAATAAAAGAACGTGTTGCAAATTACCCCAATTGTAGCAATAATTATATGACGATTTAATATATCTTTTAATTGTTTAGTTGTTGTTTAAGTATAAGTAAGAAAGTTAATACATTCAAAATTCAAAAATCAAAAACGAACAATTGAACGCCTAAAACCCCGGGAAACTCAACAGTTGTATACGCACAAATTAATTTAGCTTTTAACCATCTTAAGCCGCAATGCAATGAGTCGATTAAGAAGTCTGAAAAGTCGATTATCAAATAGTTTGCGCTCATTCCAGTTGCGTTCAAAATTGAGATAACACCACGTACTTGAACTGGTTATTAATTTTCTAGTTCACCACTGATTGGCTTTGATTATTTAATTAGGTCTAATTTATTATTATTCCGTTCTGGGTAACCATACAGATTTAATTAAGAACCCAAATAGACTGACCTTTTATTATTTTTCGCATTTAGCTGCCGCTTTTCGGTAACATAGTCAAGAGCCCGAGCTAGAGCGCCCCACATGATTATCAATCGGGTTACTTAGATTATCATACACTTAACCCATGGGGCATTGCGTTTATTAACACTTACCGCACGATTAGTCAAACAACATTCTAGGCCATAACGAATAAAGAACACAGTGTTAATTCTGATAAACACTTTTATTATTATTATTATTATTATGGCTATTGCATAACAGAACCTTAGTTCACTTTAGTGTATTTACCCATAAATGCCCTAAAAATGGAGTGCCGAAGCTAATCATAGCCATCCTCGCTTCTGGATACTTAACACAGTGTCCTTCAGCTTCCTTCTGTGATTGGGCCCCAGCAGATCCTTCCTGCTCCAGTCGGAGTCTTGGAACTCTTCAGAGCTGTTCGTCACCTTGCCCTTTTCAGTGCAGATTGGCTTGAGCATGATGAGCACATGGTAGAGCTCGGTGGGAGCCACTTCGTTCAGTTCCTCTAGGAAATTCTCCCAAGAGAACGGAGCAAGATCCAGCCGGAAATCTGCTAAGGTCTTCAGAAACGTCTCGTGGTACAGCCGCAAAAAATCATCGAAATGCTCGTCCAGAATGGTGTTGATCACGCTGGTGAACAGGAAAAAGACCAGGTCGCAACAGCAACTCCAGTACCTGAGCAGCTGCAGATCCACGATCTTGTTCTTCACGGTGCGGCCAGTTTGGTCCTTCTGGATCATGGTGTTACTGACCCAGAAATCCGCGTGGCACATCGTGCCCCAAGGTTCGTTCGGATTGCTCCTGTTCACGAAAGGATTCGCCGCGCCATCATCAACAATCTTCTGTATTTGCGCCAAGTAAGGCTGCAGCTCTGGCATTTCGCGAGCTCCTTCCATGATGGCATTGTGGAAAGTTGTGCCCACCTCAGGCGGCAGTTGCTCCAGGCCTTTATTGGAAACGGTGGCTGGCAGGACTTTTTCCTTAAACGCCTGCGGCTTGAGAAGCTTCAACGCTATGGGCACCGCATGGTATCGGGCCAGGTCTTGCAAAATCACTCTGGTGGCGCTCAAGTCGAAGCCCTTCAATCGATCTTCCGTGATGAAACCTTGCAGCTTCAGATTCTCGAAGATCAACACTGCGTCTTCATCCACGATGTTTTTGTTCTCGTCCACGCTCACTCTGGCGCCGAAACACTTGGGCAGCAGATTGTCTATGAATTGCTCCTCTGGCACTCTGTGCTCTTTCTGCAGCGCGACCAGCTCGGGGATGGTGTGCTTGTATGCGAACACTTCCTTTTTGAACGTTACAGGTATATCGAAGGCCAGCCGCAGCATTTCATTAGCCGGGATCAGTTTGGCGACGAGATGCAAGTCCCCCTTGAGTCCAGACTTTTTGCGCTTGATTTTCACATTCAGCGCCAGCATCACGCTGCCGTAGTGCTCTCCTGGTGCGGTCAGCACTGCCGTCTCCTCTTCCAACACTTCCACATCCTCGCCAAGCGATTGAGTCAACAGTTCACCAACATTGTTCACTTTCGATTTCGCCATGTTGCACCGCAATTAGACCTGCCGACAAATCAGCTAATTGTCGATAACCGTTTCCTTTGCTCGATTTGCCCGACTTATATAAAATACTAAAACCGAAATTCAAAACTATTCGGCGACTAGCGACGTTTGGTGGGGATCAGCGCACTTTGCAGCCAATCAGTCCCCTGATTCCTGATAAACAGTCGGACTGATTATCTAATGAAACTGTAATTCGTCTGATGTCAATGGGATTCAAGTGTGTAGTTTTTTCGTTTTTGCGCGCTCTGTAATAAACTTCGTCGATAACGCGACGCATTCAATACTTTCAATAAAAAGATAAACTAAATGTGCAAGCGAGCAAATACATTAAACGCAGTTAATTACATGGAACCAAAGTGGTTTTACGCGAAAACAAACTACCTGAACATGGGGGGCTGGCGTTGGAAAACTTTGTTCAAAATTGCTTTCATTCAGCTGTTTATTAATTAGTCACTTCTTATTGCAACAAAACTATTATTTGCAGTGAGATTTTAATATATAGAAAAGCATGCATACAAATCGCAACATTTATTCTTAATTCTCCACAAATTTCATACTGAATCGAAACAATGTATGCCAGTTACAAGATGAATCCTGAGCAATATATTCTGTGGCCATTGCTACACCAAATAGCATCCACATATACAGGGTGATTCAAAATTGGCGTCATTCCTCTGGAGGTGTTGTCTGGCGGTGTTTTAGGAGAACAGAAAAAATAGTTAAAAAAATTAACCGTGACGCGAAATTTCAACATTTTCCTCGTACTCTCCAAGTGAGCCCCTATTACCCCTTAAAAGGAATGACGCCAATTTTGAATCACCCTGTATAAGGAA